CGAGGGAGCCCCTCGCCGCCTTTTCCCTGCAGACAGCAAGATCCCCGAGGACCCGGGGCTGTGCCGCACCGTCCTGCCCGATCCGGAGCCTTCCCAGGGACGCTTCTCCCCGGAATCCCACCTTACCGAGGTTGCCGATGGCACCTCCGAGTCAGCGCCCAGCTGCGAGGGCAGCGTCTGTGACAGGGTGTCCGAGTTTGAGGATTTCTGGAGACCTCCCTCGCCCTCCGTCTCGCCAGGTAGGAGCGGGGCGAGAGGGTGCGGGCTACGTGTCTGTGTCGGTGCCACGGGGCAATGTCTCATGGCTGGACGCCGCCGTCAAAAACGAGTGGAAGGGACAGATTTGCCACGCAGTGGGAAAAGGCAAATCTTTCTCTTCCACTCGTTTTCAAGTTACCTCTCCCGGGTTGCTTTCCCACCCCATCTCCTGCTGCTAAGGGAGCAGCGGGTGACAGTCAGGAAAGTAGTGATGCCATCAGGCGTTGATTTTTTTGGTTTCTGATTAGTTGCTAGAGGCAAGCCAGTTATGTTGTAAAGGTCCCGGCATTTTCCTACAGTGTCCTGCTGCCCAGAGTTTAGATGTTTTTTGTGACAGTAAAAATTTCTACTAGACTACTGTAGTAAACAGCATTGACTTTGTGTTTCGTACTACCTGCTGGATGTTTTCCCTAACTCCCTTTCAGGTTATTTCTTGCGTCTTGCCTATAAAAAGGATCTCTCCCTCTCCTTCCCTCCCTCCCTCCCACCCTTCTCTCTCTTTTTTGGGTTGTTATTTTTTTGTTTTGTTTTGTTTTGTTTTCTTTTTCTAAAAACACATTCGTAAAAACCAGATGAAAATAATGACGGTCAGATTTAAACACCCCAAATCCAGGAAACTCACACTTATGGCTGCAGTGCCTGTCTCTAGCTCCCTCGTCCTGCCTTTGATGTGGTTGGAGCAGTGGGAGATGCTGTCCCCAGCCTGGTGGGAATACTTATCTCGTTTAAAAATACAATGGTGTCATTTTATAACAAAAATATGTATATATAAAACCCACTTTTTATTGCCTCGGTCAAAAAGCAACAGATGGAAAAAAGAACAATTTCAGTCTCGGCAAAGGAAAAATTGTCTCAGCTTTACCGACTGAAAGCGGACGCCAGCAAACGAATACTTAGTCCCTTTTCCCCGCCGGTTTTCCCACTTCGTCTTCACAGTCTCCTTGCATATCAACGGCTGATTGTCATGACGTGGGTCTGCATTTTTAAAGCTTCCCCCTCTTTTAAGAGCCCTTTGAGGGGACATTGAAAATGCTGCCCAGTATCATCACAGCCACGGGACAGTTTCAGTCTGTGCAAATGAGAGACTGGACCAAATGCAGGAATGTAGCAGTCTCTCTTTTGCTGATATTTCTGCACAAAGTGTAGCAATGTGGGTAATTTTTGTTGTAACGAATTTGTCCTCCTCCTTCCCCAAATAATTACAATTTCTGCATGGGAAAGAGACCGTTTTCACGAGGTGTCTAAAAGACAGATGTAAAACAGAGCAGGTATTTACCAGAGCTGCTCTGCCTTTCCTCCCTCCCCAGTCATTTCTTCCCCCGCCAACCATCCAGCTACCCAGGGAAGGTATCTTTGTAAAATGAGGGTGACATCCTCAGATCAAGATTTGGGGGAGGGGGAGAGGTGGTCCTGGGACTGACTGATCCCATTCACGAGAGGAATGAGAAGTTAAGGGACTCCAAGTACTATAAGGAAAGAGCTTTATTAAATGAACTACAGTGCATCAAGAGAGGTGCTGTTACATTAACGATGAAGGCAGTGGCAGCAGGATTAGACCCTCGGGCTTCCTCCCGCAGCTCCCTCCCAACCCCTCTGCCTTCCAGCTGCTTTGTTGGATTCGGTGCAAAGCTGAAATTTGTGTCTAGGTGACTTCTGCAAGATGTACTGGTGAGAGACTGGATTTCTATGATTGTGTTTGTCTGGGTGGGGCACAGTTTCTGTGCTTTGACAGGCAGGGCAGATGAGAAGTGATGTTTCTAAATCACGCTCAAGGCAGGTGTGGTGAGTAGTACTATCACCCCCATGTCCCTAGAAGTGAACATAGGTGCAGGCTGCACTTCAATATGCGGTGAAAGCCAGATTTCAGGTTTGTCTTTGAGAGTGCTGTGCTGCCGATCCAGGCGGGCATGCACAGACACAATACCTTTATAGGGTTGTTAACACTCTAATACGTTGTTGACTCCATCGGTGCAATTCGCTTTGTTACTTAACCTCACTTTCTACGTGTGTCTGTAATCACATGCGTTTGCATATACGGAAGGTGCCTGATAGCTCAGTGCAGCAGTATTTTAGTATCTCCTAATGAGCCTGTTGATGCTACAGGCTTGGAGGGAGTCTTTTACTGGGTATAATGGAGTTGTGCGGAGAGCATGGCGTTTTGTGATCTGTGGAGGAGGACACTTGCATCTTTCTTTGCTGTGCGTATCAATCTGTTCCCAACCACTTCAGGTTGAGTTTGCCTTGCCTTCAAAAAAAAGAGCATTGATGTTTCTTCTCCCAGAAGTGGTCTATACACAGGCCACACAGAATTGCTAGCAAGAGGAGGAAGAATCTGCCTCTCCCTCCATGCTCACCCCTTGGAGGCCTAGATGCTGTGGAGCGGAGGAGAGGCAGAGAGAGAAGTGCCCTGCAGCGTGGCAGAGCAGGATTTGCAGGTCGCCTTGACACTGGGTACAGGGCTTGGATGCCTCGAGCTTGCCCCTGAGAAGTAATGCGTGAGTGACTCTTGTGCGTGAGAGGGCTCCAAAGCATGTGAGGTGATGGAAGGAACGCTGTACGCAAACTGATCTGTGGTGCAATGTTTACCATGCCCCGTGTTGCCAATTCCAAGGGCTCAAAAAGCAGGTCAGCCTTCTCTCTCTTCTCATTCAACGGACTGGCTGAGAAATCAAGATTGTAAGTAATACCTTATGGATATTCAGTTCTAGTGTTGAAATATTGAGGGTTTATGTTTTCATGCTTTTCTTTACAGTCTGGGCTAGAAGTTGACTTTAAGAGGGAAAAAAAAATGTTACAACAAGAACAAGCAAACAAAAGGAAAGCTGAGGGCCTGACGAAATCATGCATTTTCAAGAGCTGGGGCTTTAAGATAGTTTTGAATCTTGCGATAAAATCGTGAGAGATGGCAACACTGAAACTGGTTGCAAAGACACAAGACAGATGATGTGATGCTGACCACAACTTTGCAGTCAGTGCAGAACAGGAAAAATCATGCTCAGCACTATGTCAGCTAATTTGATTTCATCGCTCTGTTCAAATGTCCCGGTTGGTGTGTGCGCATATATTTCCAACCAAAAGACTGCTAATTTCAATGGAAGAATTTGCAACTGTTAACATCTGAAATTATATAAAAGATAGGAAACAATCAAGTCATTCGCAATTTTCACCTCATTTCCCACTCCCTTCTGTAACCCTCAGTGAGTGACTCTGCCCATCCAAATGCCTTCCTTCCTTAGCCCACCCCTCATTATCTTGGTTTGCTGAAGGTTGAGAAAACCGTGGCAGTTGTGAGCTGATGGGAACGAGAAAAAGTGAGAGCGCAATTGTGGGTGGGCAAGGTTTTGGGTAAAGGAGGTTTTTCTGGCAACCCAGGTTGTAAGGGATGCCAATATCTCTGTGAAAGTGCTGGCACTTCAGCAGTTAATTGATTCATCTTCTCCTTGGTTCACTAAAACATTTCTCCAGCGGGGACACTTGACTCCCTCAGTGCTGCTGCCTGTTGTGATGAAGAGTGAAAGCAGAGCGCCTCGGGCATTAATCCACATCTGTGGTGGAGAGATGGTACCTCATGTTCCCAGCCCAACTGTGCTTTCCTCTATGCGAGGCTCCCTGAGCGTTTGTGCCTTTAGACACTGATCTCAAAGGCTGGGTCCCTGCCTTTGCGTCAGACTCTGCTATGAGCCTCCCAAGTGTGGTTCATCTTGTGGTGTCCACTGCCTTGGGCAGATGCTATGGCTGAAGGTGAGCCTGTTAGAGACAAATGAAGCCATCTGAGCTTGTCCCGGTGGAAGGTCGCTTTGATTATGACTGCTAAGAAAATCTTGTCTCTTTGATTCTTATACCGATCATTTTATGAAGCTCAATGTTTTGGATTGACTCAAGTTTCTTTACTTAGAGAAACTCAGAGCAATCTGAAACGACAGTGATTTTATTTCAGGTGAGGACTGATTTTAGTTTATTTTTGTCTGAAAAAGTGAGGTGTGGCATTCAAGCACCTCAGAAACTGTTCTCTATATCAGTTATGCTGTAGTATAGTTAATGGACAGTTGTGCCATGAAGTTGAGAGACTAGTTTTGGGCATTAAATTGTGCAACAAGCAGTTTTTAGTTTTGTTGAACAGGTAAGTCTCGGCACTCTTGCTCCTTCTGGTACCTCTGTAATGTCATATTTGCTATATCGATGTGTGGGATCTACATCAGAGCTTAAACATTTGGTCTGTCAGCTTTGATGCCCATCTTGGGCCATAGTAGATATATACTTTTCTGAAGAACTGCAGATATAAACCAAAGGAAGTTGCAGATTGAGTTGTTTAGTGTCTCAACAGTCAGATCAGTGTGAACACACCTGGGCACCCAGAGATGGAGGTAGAAAAAATTGGTGGCTGCTTTAAACAATTTGACTGGGAGAGCAGGTGAGGAGGTAGTACTGGACGCACTGACCCTACGGTGCAATATAAAATGTATAAAATTAGAGAGAAAAGGGCAGCCTTAACGTGCAGTACGGGGGTCTGGCTCTGGGCACAACTCTGAGTGCTGAGATGATTCTGCCCCACGATAGCGGTTGGACTGTGAAGCGCACTAATTCCCATGCCCTTGTGTTTCTGCAGCCTCGGAGCGATCTGTGTGTCCGTCCCTAGATGAAGCACCCCCCTTCTCCATGCCCTTCAAACCGTATATGTGGAACAGCCTGGGTGGCTCCGAGCTGAGGCACCTTGTACAAAGCTACAGGCCCTGCCCGACGCTGGAGCGAACCTCAGCCCTGGGGATCTTCTGCGAGCGAGGCTCCGAGCCTGCCCTCTATGGTGCAGAGTGTAGCTCCTCCCTTGGACTTTATGGTGACTTTGGCTCCCCGGGCCCAGGGCTGTTTGAGCGGCCACCAGCAGCAGCACCTGGACTGTATGCCGAGACGCAGCCTGGACTGCAGCAAGAGAAGGGGCCAGGTGGCATCAAAGTGGAGTCAGACCTCTTGTGCCGCCCATTGCTCATCAGCACTGGCTCTTACAAGTGTGTCAAGTGCAGCAAGGTAGGGATCCCTTTCTCCCACACTGGTCACGACTCTTCCTTAGCCCCTTCTCCCTGGCGAGCCTGACCCTGTGTGCTCTCTCCCCCTCAGGTCTTTTCCACGCCGCATGGCCTTGAGGTACACGTGCGCCGCTCACACAGTGGCACGAGGCCCTTTGCTTGTGACATGTGTGGCAAGACCTTCGGCCATGCAGTCAGCCTGGAGCAGCACAAGGCCGTGCACTCGCAGGTGAGAGCGGGGCATACTGCCAGGATGAAGGTCCGAGGGCCAGGGCCAGTCGCTTGCTTTGGCTGGCACTGGGGAGGCCATGGAGGCGATCACAGGGCAATAGGAGGACATCTAATCGGAGGAGAGGAAGAGAACATGGTAGGGCTACAGTGGGCAGTTGTGGGTGAAGAATACGGTGGCAGGCAGAGGAAAGGGTGGGCAGCTAGTGAGCAAAGGAGCAAATCAACAAATTAAAGAACACAGGCTTTGTTCCCATTTCCCAGACCTTGCGTGCATCTGTATTAAGCGATGGGCACTTTTGGCACTTCAGACATAACAGATAATAAATAATAAATTTAAACTCTCAGAGCTGGAAATGGTAATGCGGATGTGGACTTTTTTTAACAGCTAAAGCAACTCATTGTGCTTTCTTTTGACGCGGCTCTCCTCAATTCTTTCTCCTCCCCTCCCCCAAAGAAGTGAGTCTTCCCTTGTTTGTAGTCATTGTGTCTGTGCAGGGAACATCTGAACGACCAGTCAGGTATAGAGCACAGACTTCACCCGTCTCGACACACTCTGAGTCACACACCAAAAGAATATGGTAGTTAATTTTGGTAGGAGGACTTGTAACATTTTCCACCTGCTGATATTGTGCCATATTTCCCCTTCACCCACCCACTTGACCTGGCAAATCTTCCTTCTTCAGATTGGCTTTTGGAGGATAGAGTTACAGCAGTGGCTTTTTGCTAACTGTTTTATTTACAATTTCATGAGTGTGCAACAGCAGAGCACATAATGAGGGGAAATATCTCATCACCCATTAAATAATGGTGAAAACAGCAGCACTGCATATCGTGTCCACGGAGGGGACACCATTTCAGGGAGAGTGCATTAAAAGCCAAATAAACTAAGGCAATTGTATGAAAGTATGGCAGGAAGAGGAAGGTGTGATGGTAGTTAAGGGATGGAAAGAAGAGATTATTTATAGTGGAAGAAGGTGGTGGAGAGGAGTGTGTGAAGGAGAGGAGAGAGACAGCAATGTCTTAAATGCACTTAGGTTGATTTGTTAAAGTGGTAAGCCAAAAAGCTGCTTTCCCCAGGGGCTCTAGGTACCTTTCACTTGAATTATAATGGAACTACAAATAAGCAGTTAGTTGCTACCCTGCCAGCAGAAGTCAGCCTGCCACTGAGATTTCCCAGGAGAGCCAAGCAGACCTCAGCACCCGCTTTCCTGTGTACAGCGGAGCGGTGGCCTCTGAACAGTGCTGGAGCTGCTGGGCTTCCCAGCGGAGTGATCATGTCCTGGGCCCCTGTTGAAATGTGCAGGCAGATTCTGGCCAGTCAGTCGGTCGCTCCCACCTGGCCATGCCTGCCAGCAGGAAGAGCTGTTCAATTAAATTTTTGTGAGGAGCGGTGCATAGCACTGGGAGAGGGTGCATTATCTTTTTTTTTTTTTTATCATATGGTGCTATCGTGCCAGTGTTAGCGTCTCCGCAAGCCAGTCCAGCTCTCTGGAGAAGTGGAAGTGCTTGCTAAGGCAGAGGGAGCAACACTGATGTGCTGCTGGGCAGTTTGTTGCTGGTGGGATCGCTGGTGTGGTGTAACGTGTGTGTTTGGGATCCTCTCTATGCAGGAACGCAGCTTTGATTGTAAGATTTGTGGCAAGAGTTTTAAGAGGTCTTCTACTTTGTCTACCCACCTGCTCATCCACTCGGACACCCGGCCCTATCCGTGCCAGTACTGTGGGAAGCGGTTCCACCAGAAATCTGATATGAAGAAACACACCTTCATTCACACAGGTCAGCCCTGGTGTTCAGCCCCAAGTGTGGGGGCAGGCCGCTGAGGAGGTTGTTCTGCAGCAGTCCCTTCCTCCTCAGCTGGGACAGCACACGCACCTCCCTGTGCTTCTCGCTGCCCTGCTGCATGTTCATGCTCTCTGAGCTCTACTCGTGCAAAGGACGGTGATTTGAATGTGGTTTCACGAACAGCAGCTGCAAAATAACCCAAATCCTCACAATCCAATCAGTGTTCCCTTAACAGGATCCACCAATGTTTATTCAAAGGGCTTTTGTGTAAGATGATTTGTAGAGTATTATATTCGTGTGGCCTTGATTTACAGCTAAGGTCCCTGAAAAATGACAGGTGAATTTGATTGCAGCATTTATTTTTTCAGGATCTACCAATTTACAATAGGAACAACACGAGTCTCCTCCTCTAGATCAAACACTAAACTGGAGGGCCTAGGGTCCAACTCTTAGTCTAAATATTTGTTCAGAGATTGTCTGCACTTCCACCCGGACTTTCTGAGAAATGGTGGCAGTTTGATACAGAATGGAAGGAGAGGTGCAGAGTTCTCAAGTTTCACTGTTAGTAATAAACATGGAAACTAATAAAGTGCAGGTGAATCACTGAAGGAAATAGTTTTAAAAATATCATTCAGTGAGAAGGCAGGTTTATCAGAAATCTTTAAAAGAAAATCCTGCCTTTTAGGCCTGCTCCATTCACTTAAATAAGAGGGAAATGAATGATACGTGAGATACAGAAGCATTTGTAGACACAAAATACCAGCTGTACTGGACAAACCCAAGCTTCAGATGACCAAAGTCCTCTCTCCTGATAGTGACCACTAGCAGATATTAAGAGTGAAGCTTAAAAATGGCAGATGTGTAGAAAGGTGGCATTATACGTAGCGCTGCTTGGTTGTGACTTTTATAGATGACAAGCAGTGAACAGTAAATGTTACTTATAAAGATTTTCCACCAGGTGTTTGCTGGATGAAAATGAACTATTTTGGAAGCAACACCAGAAGTATTTCCATAGTAACTTTTCCAAATAAGGCTTGATTAAGTAGCATTTCAGCCAAATTCTGAATCAGTTTAAACCATTATTTTGTTGTGAGATCAGAAACTGTGCCTGGGCTTTTAAATTGCTAATATAAAACCAGGTCCTTAACTGAATCAGGGATCCTTTTCATATGCAGCATACACTTGTGAACGGAGTCTCCAGCACATTTTGTATTATTTTATGTTTCTAAGAATCTGATCTTCAAACGTGCAAAGAGTTTGTTGCTCCAGCTGAAGTCAGTGGGCTCTGCAGGTGCAAAGCCACTCTGAAAATCAAGCTTGGTTTTGTGGTTGGGATCCCTTTTATGCGTTATTTGATAATAAAACACTATGAAAATGCACTGAGATCCTGCTCCCATGGAGCCCGATGCAGTTCTGCCACTGACCCCTCTGTAGATGTTCTGGAGGCTGGATTTATTCCCATTTACGTCGTTTGCCTGCAGGAGAACTTCAGGGCTGGCTCGGGGTGACTGCTAGCATTTCAGTGTGGGGAACGGAGAGAAGAGCAGATCTCTGGATGAACCCTGCCCTTCAGGGTTCACTTAAGGGCCCTCATACCTCCCCTGGGGACAGACCCCAGCTCACCGGGTTTGGCTTAACAACCTCCATCTATCTATTCCTCCTGCCCCCATGCTGATGCTATAATAACCGACGTCAGGCGTTCAGCATGACCTGGGGGTCTTCCCAGGAGTTCCTGATGTTTCTAGGACACAAAGCCTGTTTGAATCGCACAGAGCCAAATGTTAGGGTGTCCTGGAGGCACTCTGTGCTTCAGGCTGCTGGGGCCATGGAGGTGCAGCCAAGTCCAGGCCCGCTCAGCTGCAGCGCAGGCTCAGCTAATGTTTCGGGGCTCCCAACCGCATGTTTTTTGTAAGAATGACTTCTTTGGTAATTAGACAGGAATCACTTCGCTTAGCTCTAAGGCCCAGCATGCATTTCCTGTTTGCTCTGGTCCTGCGTAATCAGCGGGTTGCCTCTTTCACACCCTCTCTCTTTTTCTCTCTCCCGCCTTCTGCTTGCAGGTGAGAAGCCTCACAAGTGTCAGGTGTGTGGAAAAGCCTTTAGTCAGAGCTCTAACCTCATCACCCACAGTCGGAAGCACACAGGCTTCAAGCCCTTTGGCTGTGATCTGTGCGGCAAAGGCTTCCAACGGAAGGTGGATTTACGGAGACACCGGGAGACACAGCACGGTCTGAAATGAGTCCCAGCTGGAATGCAGAAAGCACCTACAACACTATGAGAACAGACTCCCTTGGCTTCCCTGCTGGACCTGAGCCCTGTCGTGAGCACAAACCCTGGCATTACCTTTCTGGCCAGGAGCTTGGAGGGGAAAGGACAGGGCCATGCATTGAGAGCTCAACCTGAATGACTGTGAAAGCGGAAATTAAAAGCTCTCTTTCTCTCCCCCCCTGTTTCTGAAATAACACTGGAAAATAAGCCTTTTAGATATGAAGCCTGATACTCCAAAGATGGATAAGCTACCAAATACCTTTAAGCTGGAAAATATTTCTCCCATGGCCAAGATGGACCCCCTGAAGTTTTCAGTAGCTTGAATCACCTTGCAGGGGCACATGGGTGTAATGGTGTTTACATGGTAATGAGAGAGAGCCATCAGCTCGTGGTGTGGGGAGCGCTTGCCTTGGTTGAGTTTTGGAGCCGAGTGGCCTCACCCTTGGTTTCCTGTCAGGAAAACCTGGAGGATCAGGACTGAACTGTGCCGTTTGACATCTTGCTGGTTTTCAAGCAGAGGTATCAGCTTGGGCCTGATCCTGTTCTCACTTGTTCTGATGCAAATCAGGAGCTGCATTAACAGTTATAGAGAGGCTCTTTTTATCCTCCCAGAGCCACCTCTGCCTGTGCAAGGCCTGGCTGTGTGCGTGTGTTTGAGGCCTGGGGGGGTTACTTCTTGCTACATCCATTGGGGAGAAGGAAGCTTGTGATAGACAAGTAGAAAAGCCAAAGCACAGAGTGATGCCTTATAACTACAAACCCATCCAACAAGTGATCCTGACTGAGGAGGGCAGGAGCACCCGGGAGGCACAGACTTTTTGTCCAGAACCGTTGCTGGCTTCCGCACTCTGGGCTTGTTCTAATTACTGGAAAATAGCTACTCAATAGCATCATTTGTATATTTGTTTTTGTTTTTTAATTTTTAAAGGGAAACTCGGCTGAGGTGGGCAGGAATCATTATAAAAGTATAATTGACTGAATTTGCCTTAAATGACCCTGCATGTACCTCAGTTTAAAAAAAATGCTGTTTTTACTTTGTTGACAGGTTTGTAAATGTCCTTATTTAGATTTTATGGAGTGTCTTATGTTTATTGGTACATATTTATTGGAACAATGTTTTAAGTTAATAAAGTATTGAGGATGATCCAGAGTGATTTTTATTTAATATGTAACTTCAGCACATTTGTGAATGTCAGATGTTCCAAGAATACACCACACTGATGATCAGGGATATGGCATTCGAGGAGGGAATTCAGGCACCGCAGAATTTGCGCAAGGGCTCTGGTGATTAAAGACCACCACTGTCGTATTTATTTGTCCAACTCCCGCTGATTTCAGTTAAACACTTCACACTTTTGAAGACTGGGGTATACTGTGCATAGCCCTACCACCGTGAAAGGGTTTAGAGAGGAAACAGAAGTTTCAGGCATCCGCTTTGGAAATGCAGACTGCCAGAAGTCCCCACTCAGCGCAGGAGGAACTTGAATGTCGTCACGCAAGATTAAATGTCTGTGCCCGGGAGCTTGCAGGGACACCTGAGCAGCAGGTGTGTCATTTATACTTCAGCCTGTTGGGACTGACAGAATTGCATTTTGCCAGCCTTGTCAGCAGGGCTTGCTCCATCTGGCAGTCGCAGCCCATACAAAAGAAGCAGGAGGATGACGGAGGGGTCCCTTGCCCTTTTCCCAGCAGAGCACAGCATGGCAGCTTGAGCTTTTACACGTGCACGTAACCTTGCGTGCCCACATATACTCGTTTCCAGCTTTGTTTGTACTTCTGTTCTGGATAAACCAGTGAGCAGAGGCTCCCTATGCCCCACTGGGCTGGCCCACCCTGCCCACCGAGGGCCGTGGCACTCCACCTGCCAGGTCCCTCCATGCTTCTGCTTTCTGCCACCTCCGAGAGCTTCAGCCGCAGCCCCTTCCTCGCAGGGCCGCCCTCGCAGGCTGTGGCTGAAGCAGATCTCTGCAGGGCTAACCCAGAATGTGCCACTTGGGCAGGGGTCAGCTCTTCCACATGCAGTTGCCCACGCCAAGGCTTCACAGATGGGGCTTTTATTAAATAGAAACATGGCACGCAATCACAGCCGTCAGGGTGAGAGGCTGCAGCATAGAATCATAGAATTGTTTAGGTTGGAAAAGACCTTCAAGATTGTCAAGTCCAACCGTTCCCCTAACCCTGCCATCCCACCACTAAACCCTGTCCCTAAGCACCTCATCTGCCCGGCTTTTAAATACCCCCAGGGATGGGGACTCGACCCCTTCCCTGGGCAGCCCTTTCCATGCTTGACAGCCCTTTCCGTGAAAAAATTTTTCCTGATGTCCAATCTAAACCTGCCCTGGGGCAACTTGAGGCCGTTTCCCCTCGTCCCATCGCCCGTTCCCTGGGAGCAGAGCCCGACCCCCCCGGCTCCCCCCTCCTCTCAGGCAGTTGTAGGGAGCGATGAGGGCTCCCCTCAGCCTCCTCTGCTCCAGGCTGAACACCCCCAGGCATAGGCACACAGGAGCTGCCAGGTGCTCTGAAGACCACATTAGGCCCATTATGCTGGCTTAATTAACACCGAAGATCAGTGTAGGAGACTAAGTGGTAATGGGGAAGGCCTGGTGGTGCCCCAAACCCTGCCTAGACCAGGGGAGGCTCCAGCCGGTGGCACAGGTAGGCTTGGGGGCTGCCCCTGGGGCGATGCTTGGTATTTATTTTACAGGGAAGCTGCTGTGGTGGGTGGAGTGAATGTTGGCCAGGGGTACTGGGCATGGGGTGGCCAGGATGCAGCAGCCAGCCCGCCCCTGCCCCTCTACCCTCAGGAGATCCTTTTCCCGCCAGGTGCAGCTTCCCTCCCTGTGGGCAGGCCTTACTCCAGCAGGCCTCGGGCAGGCCCAGTTACTGCCATTTACCTTTAAAACGATGATAGCAACGTGTGCCTCCCTCCCGCCCAAGTGTCTCATTCTCAAACAGGACAACTTTATGTGGTTTGAGCCTGGCGCAGACTGGGGTTGGGCTGCTGGAGGAGGCAGCTGCTGGTAAGGTGGGCAGGCCCCGCAGCGTGGACGCAGCCTGGGTGATAGTGCAGGTTTAGGTTAGACATTAGGAAAAGTTTTTCCACTGAAAGGGTTGTCAAGCACTGGAACGGGCTGCCCAGGGATGTGGCGGAGTCCTCATCCCTGGAGGGATTTAAAAGCCGTGTAGCTGTGGTGTTTAGGGACAGGGTTTAGTGGTGGGCTGGCAGGGTTAGGGGAACGGTTGGACTTGATCTTAAAGGGCTTTTCCAACCTAAATGATTCTGTCATTCTATGACTGTTCTTCAAGGGGAGAAACTCGGTGGGTGTTTTTATTGGTTTAAGTGTGTCTTCCCCCAAGACTGTCTTGCAACTTACTGGTATACCTCAGGGCGCTGGCACTGAGCAGTTGCTCGGGCCCGAGCCCCTTTGAAATGGCGGCGTGTGGCTGCATGGGAAGGTGTTCCCCGCCTCACCAGCCCCGCTCGCATTGAGCGCCGGCTCAGCCGCCGATTTGGGTGAAATGTAGCTGCCTCTGAGGAAAAAGTCACTGCTTTAAGGTGGGGAATTTGAAATGAAGGGGAGGAAAAGGAGATCTATCTGGGGAGAATCAGAACAGGCTACTGAGAGGCCGCGGTGCAAGTCTGAAGATTGGAAATATCTCTCTCAATGTTATTACTGTGTGCTATTAAAAATGCATTATGCATATTACATGACTCATTATTCATGAAGCAGGTTCCATACCTTTTGTCTGCTGGAGTAACAGTAGAAAGGGTAAGGAGAGATGCTGGAGCACACCTTTGTTTCTTTCTGTAAATTTTTAATGACACCTCTAGCTAACCAGTTGGTGAAGCTCAGTTCCTGCATAAAAGTGGAAAGGCAGAGCTATCTACAGGAGGACTAAGCCTTTCAGAAGCTAATTTGAGCTTGTGTTCATCCACACCAACGATGATTAAATTACCTATCAAGTGTGCAGAGCTATCAGGATTCAGGGCATTGAAAAACAAGGTGAATTTATCTGATTGATTTATAAGACATGGGTGGAACAACTGGGTTATAAAAGGAAAAAGTCTATTCCTTATAGATATTATGAAAGTACTTCTCCCAGTGAGTTAATGAACTTGTTACTTTGCCTCCAAAAGTTGTTTTGCCTGCCCAGAAAACAAATTTATTAGTTGGAATCAAAATGCTTTATCCAAATCCGTTAGGCTGAATTAATTCATGAGACAGAAACAAAGCGACTTATTAGGTTCCATCCTCATGCTGATCAGAGATGTTTAAAATTAATATGTGCAAACATCATCTGTGTTTTTTTCTACAGTCGTTTTCCAAAAGCTGATAGTAACACTCAGATTGGATATTGCAACACAAGGGAGAGAGCAGCTCTTCTGGGTCTTGCTCCTTCCTCAAGCAAAACTTTTGTTGCAGTTGATGGGGGGGTGGGAGGAAGAGGTTTCTAGAATAAGCCCTGGCTGAAAGATTGCGAGACTCGTGCAACTGTATTTGCAAGCTGTGCTGCTGTTGCACGTTGATAAAAGAGTGCTCCTTAAGTCTCTGCATTTTCCTGCCTTAAGAGCAAAAACCCAAACAGGTCAGTTGTGTCAAATTCATCTCCAGCGTAACCCCAGTTCACATCAGGAATGGATTTTGCCTTTATTTATGATTTGGGTCTTACTCTGAACTTAGTAGTGAACTATAGCTCAGCATACAGCCCTTTGACGGAATTCTGATTTAGAAAAGCACTGAAATATGCATGTAAGTCAATGAAGTGCTTCTCTAGCAGGGACCTTATGAGATGCCTGCTCGGAGTTAAAATTCCAGAGATTTTCCCTGCTGAATCCTGGACCTGACTCCATTTCCAAGCCACCTCCTGTCCGTCTGGCATGTTTTCACCTGCAGCGGAGGTGGGTTCTGAGAATGCCAAGGGTAATTGTAATTCTTCTTTTATTTTTTTTAATTGTCAATAGGACAGTGGTAATTTCCAGTATTTTTTTCTCTGAGTAATAAAGCCATCTAAATAGATTTAAGGCATGTAAATGTCTGTAATGCATTATAAGGCATGTAAAGTGATGGAACCAGATTTGAAAAGATATTTGTGCATCTAAAGCTGCAGACAAGTCTGAATATGCATCGGGTGTGGGTATCTAGTTGTGTCTTTGACTGCCCAATTAGTCGTGGGGGATGGGGTGGGGTAGTAGAAAAAGGAGAAAAAAAAACCCAACCCAAGAGTCTCAGAAAATTTCCTGAGTCTTTATCACACCAGTTTGTAATATACACAACATATGGACTATGAATAGAGGGAGCACATAAATCTGGAAGAAAATGTTTCATATGTTATAAAAATGCTGGCCACACCTTGTTAGAATAATGTTGCCTAACGGATTAACCAGGAGCATGTGAAAAAATCTTTCAAATAAGATGAAAGCAAAGCACTTCTGTGTGCTTGTTCCAACATGCTGCTTCTAATCTGGATTTTTTTTTTTTTTTTGGTAGAGATGACACAACAAAAAACCACCGAATAAGACAAACCTAGAAAGAAAAATAATGTGACAGCTAATGAAATTATTTCCTTCTTTTAAATACCATCCAGTCAACCTTCTGACACGTGTGCAATCTCCCAGCCAGCTGGACACTACGGTGTATGGGGAGCATCCAGCCCCAGCTCGCAGTGGCCCAGCTTGCCAAGGCGCCGGCAGCAGTCGCTGTGGCAGTGCCAGGCTCCTCCACTCGAGCAGCCCAGAAG